TTCCTCGCATTGGTGGCTCATGTCCATCCTGGAGTCAACAATGACTCAAAGATCCCTTTCAGCCACTGTGTAGTTGAGAAGGGTGTTCCCCAGCCTATAGGTGTATTGCTGGTTCCTTCTCCCTAGATGCAGTACCCTGTACTTGTCTGCGTTGAATTCCATCCTAGTCTCATCCACCCACCCCTGTAACCCATCTAGATCTAGCTGGATTTTGTCCCTCCTTTCCAGTGTGCCCACTTCTCCCCGCATCTTTGTTTCATCAGCGAATTTGGGCAGCATGCTTTCCACACTCACCTCCAAGTCACTGATAAAGATGTTGAATAGCACAGGCCCAAGGACCAAGCCCTGGGGAACTCCACTGCCCACATCACTCCAGGTCAAAAACAACCCGTCCACCACCACTCTCTGGGTGCAACCATCGAGTCAATTTGCCACCCATCTGACTGTGTAGGCATCAGTGCCACAGTTGCCTAGTGTTTTTATGAGAATGGGGTGCTAAACAGTGTCAAAGGCCTTCTTGAAGTTCAGGTAGACGACATCTATCTCAACACCCACATCCAAGGACTTTGTGACCTGGTTGTAAAAGCATGGAGAGCCCTGCTGGGAGGTCAGTGCTAAAAGCTCCCGAGACAGGTTCCAGAGTGGTCCATGGTGCACAGCTCTCAAGCACCACAGGGAAACCAAGCCATGGACACCACCCACGTGACCTTAGGTGGAGCTGCCGTGATGGCCATTGAGGCAGCAGCCGGAGCAGGGAACATAATGCCCTCCATGTATGCTCAACAGGGGATGCTGAAGTATCTGCCCCGGGGCCTCTCCACAGCCAAGAGCCAAGCTGCCAGCTGTCTTTGTGCTGCTCTGGCTTGCCTCTAGTACCTGACAGCTGGGGCTGCAGGGGAAGAGGCTGAGGACCCTGACAGCCCTGGCCACTGGACAGTTCTGCACCCAGCCAGGGTGGCCAGTCAGACCCCAAGGCAGGCAAGGGCACCGACCTGCACTGCCAGCTCAGGAGTTTCGATAGAGCCCATGAGGAGCTGCAATTAGGCAGCAAGGTACACACCCTTTCCCCCAATTCCCCCCTCCCCCCCTCCTGGGCTGGGCTGCTGGGACATTTGGGAAATGTTGATCCAGTGCAGAAGCTGCGTCACTGGCCAAGAACCTGTTGCATCAGCTGTGGCACAAGGCCGATGCTGCTCAACTCTACTGTCAGGAGCAGGCAGGTCTCATCTCGCCTGTTCCATGTCTGCAGCTGCCTTAGAAGAGGCCCCTGGGCAGTCCTAGCAACAGGGCTCATGAACCAGGAGCCCCTAACACCTGCAGAGACCCTGAGAAGCAGAAGATGCTGCTGCTCCCTGCCACTTACATGTCCAGCACCATGCATGCAGGGTGCAGTGCTCTGAGCACCTGCAGTTTGGTCCCTGACCTGGTTGGGGATGTTCCAGCAGAAAGGGAAGAGTAAACTGTTCTGGGCTGTGAGCAGGGAGTACAGGACCTCACAGCAGCCTCTGCCCCTCACAGCAGTTTCTGCCCCTCACAGCCCAGGGCATCAAACTGGATCATTTACACAGGCTGCCAAGCCAATAACCACTGTTGACGTAAGTGGCTTGGAGATAAGAACTGACCCATGCCATCAGTTCAGACTTTTGCAGCTCTGGCAGCTGTAACTGGCACAAAGTCCACTGCTGACGTGCCCCCAGCACTGCCTTGCTGGCTGTGGCCTAAGGGCACCTGGCAGCAGGGACCAGAGGTCCTTTGTCCTGTGCTGTCAAGTATAAAAGCCAGCTGGGGCCCTGCCAGGGGCTGTACCGTAAGGCTCTCCCAAGACGTAAAGGGCAAAGCAAAAGCCAGTGTTCCCCACCTCTATGCCCAGGGCCTGGGAAGAGGGAGACCTAGAGCCTAGTGGGCTCCTACCACTCACCCCAAAGGCAGACCAGGCCATGGAGAGTGCCTCAGGGCTCCAGCAATGCATTGGCTCTTCTGGCCCTTGGGGTGAGAAGCCCTTTGCTTCTTGGGGAAAGATCCCATGTGCACCAAAAGGAACGCTCATGCTCTGCAGGGCAAATGCAGTGATTTCTGCCATCTTAAGCACACATTGATGCTAGCATCAAAGGCCGAGGGGCACTGAGCCCCACCCTGGTGGACGCCAGCATGACACAGGCCACACTGTATTATGCAAGGCACTAGGTCCTGGCCCTGTGGCACCAGCCCCCAAGCCCTGCTGTAATTTCGGCACCTAGCTCCACAGTACCCACATGTGAGGACCTGTGCCTGGGGTAAGAGGACAGAGCCCTGCCCTGAGGCCCAAATGCAGGGTCTCTGTGGTGCCTTGCTGCTCCAGTGCTGTGGGGTGGGGCAGACTGCAAGTGCTGTGGGTGGCTGTGGCAGCCAGGGTAAGTGGGAAGGCTCCAGGCCCCAAGACCAAGCCTGGCCACATGGGGTGCCGAGAACATGTGCTGCCCTCTGCTCCCCTCCACCTAACAAGAAGCTCAGTGGCATCGTGTCCGCCCCTCCCCACCCCCCCCTGCATCCACCCAAGACATCAACCCACAGCTGCTGCCACTTCCAGGGCTCTGGGCTGCTCTTCCCCAGTGCTGATGCCTCTGCAGAGTCACTGCAGCAAGATCCCCAGTTCCAGCCTCCAGACCTTGCTCAGATGCAAGGGGCCACCCATTCTTCAGGGCAGCTCTCTGAGGCGGCCCAGGACATCCTGGAGCCCAGCAGCAGGAAGAAGTACTGGCTGGGCAGGCGTGCATGGATGGCTGCTGCCTGCACATGGTGCATTTCAACAGGCCTGAGTCTTCTATTTCCTGACATTGCAGGGCGCTGATGGGGAGGGGGCTGGAATGCATTCCTTCCCACCCAGCTGGTGCAGTCAACAGCCATTTTGGCTGAGGGAACACACTGCACCAGGCACTTCCCAAACACAAAGGCAGAGGCCACCTGTCCTCTGCAATGAGAACAAACCTCAAAGGTGGTGCCAGGTTGTGTGCTGGGTCCTGGTGCCAGTGGCTGGACCATAGATGCCCTGCTGAGCCAGGACACAAGGCCCAGTTGGAGACCAGTAGGTACATTCGCATGCAAGAACCAGCCCTCAGCACACAAGCACTTGGGAGCTGTCCTGGTCTGGGAGTTTTATAGATTTCATAGACATTAGGGGTATAACGGACCTTGCAAGATCATCGGGTCCAGCCCCCCGCCCAAGGGGCAGGAAGTCTCCTGGGGTCAAATGATCCTAGCAAAATAAGCATCCAAACATGTCTTAAAGGTGTCCAGAGTAGGTGCTTGCACCACTTCTGCGGGGAGTCTGTTCCAGACTTTGGGAACCCGGACAGTAAAGAATTTTTTCCTTATGTCCAGTCTAAACCAGTCTTCCCAGAGTTTGTGACCGTTAGACCTTGTCTTGCCTTGGGGTGTCCTGGTGAACAGATGCTCCCCCAGTTCCAAAGTTGTTACCCAGATTGCAGGTAACCCTGTGGGCTGGCTACTGATAAGTGAGACAGAAACAGATGGACTTTTTATTTGCTTGTGTTTCAAAACAGAAAACCAAACATTTATCCCAAAGTCTATCTGGCTACCCATGACAGCACAACATAGATTCGCACCTATATCAGTAGAGGAAAGTGCCATGCAGATTGGCATTTGGTCTTCTTGAATTTGCTGCGTTCTCCAAATTTTCCTCCAGCCAATATCCCATATTTCTAAATGGCTGGTTCTAATATTCTAATGAACGACCTCTGGTTGGTTTTATTTAAATATCTTTGTTTCACCGAAACTTTTGGAACTGAACCGAACCAGATCTTTCATGGACTTCGAAGGTGTCAGTTAGTTGGGATTTATATCCTCCAGCAAGTAAAAAAGAGAAGGTTTCTTATCTCCTTTCCTTCCCCATTGTGGAATGCTGTTCAGCACTGTCCTGCTTCTTCTTTACCTTAGCTTATGATCTTCTTTGATGGCTGTTTCATTTTTACAAATTATCTAAGCATCTTAATAAAAATATATCTATTATAGCAAAATAGCGTCTAATACATTTGGTTGCATCTATCATTACTAGTAATATTTTTAAAATAAAGCTATGAGATAGTGTATTTGGATTATTTAATGTACAATCTTCCTTTATAATGTCTCCTTTTGGGCCTTGTGATTTGTTTAACAGTATCTCATTACTGGTTTAGTTAGACATGTTGAAGTCTTCTTTTACTTTGCTGATCAAGCTAGTTGTCACATCTGCAAAGGTTCATGTTACAGTCACTCAGAAACAGGCTTTGGGTCCTTCTGCTTAGCCACACTCTGCAGCTTGGCTGACAAGTCTTGGCCCTTGGCATCACTCAAGTGCCTGGGGATTAATAGCTTCCTGCTCGTAGCTCTGCGGCTACCCAGCTACAGGGAGACCCCTCCCCATCCAGTCCTCACTCACCCACGGTTCTGCAGGCAGTGGAAAACTCCCAGCCAGGACTGGCTGATTCTGGAGGCAGGTGGGGGTGGGGGGGCAGGAGAGAGGCAAGTGCCTTACATCATTCACCCCTAGGCAGCAGGCATTGGTCTTTCACTCAGCTTCAGGCATTGCCCTCACTGGGATGCACAGCATAGCTCTGGCACCACAGCAATACCAGATCCTAGCCCTGTGCTGCACAGGAGCCATGGGGCCCTGCTTTATCCCAGAGTATATTGGAGATGTACATAAGGAAGCCCTGTACTCCAACACAGCTGCAGTGCCACAGCTGGGTGCATCCACTTTCTCTGGGGAGCTGCTGCCAGGACACCTGTGTCTTCCACAGCTCCCCTCCCATTTACCACTCGGTGTTTTGGTGTGCAAGAGTGAGATGGGCAGGAAGCCAGGATTAGAATTCCCTGGCCCCTTCCTGGCCCAGTTTCACTTCCCCGTCAGCTCAGCAATGAGCTGTTGCTTCATTTCCCAGAAACTCAGAGGCTGCTGAGAAGCGGTAAGACTCTGAGCGAGGAAGCGGGGCTGGGAGGGGGGACAAATGCTCCAGACAACAAGATTCCATTCAAAAGTTTTTATTGACACCATTAAAAATAGAACCTTTTCCATTTGAGTCTTGTGCCTGCCTCCTCCTGAGATTCCAGCACGGAAATGCACTCAGGAAATGGGCATTTTGGTCCTTGTGCCAACAGCAGCATTAAATAGAAACCACCACGATTACAAAAATAATTTAATCTCCAGGGCAGGGGGTTAAATAGACATAAATAGAACAAGGCCCCAAGGAGGGTGACTAACTGCGTCCAGGCAAAAATGTGGACAGAGCAAAACGAAGACAGAACCTTCTAATGAGCTCAGAAGGGCACCTCCATCGGAGGGGGGCTGCGGGGTCAGCTCCAGGTCCTGTCACAATCATCCGCAGCGAGCTGCCTGGAGGCGCTGTCGTGGCAGAACCTCAGCCTGTGGACCGAACAGCTTCTTTGCCTGGGCCTCGAAAGCTGTCACCATCTGCTTCACCACCTCATCGAAGAACAGGGTGGCCAGCCGGGAATGTAGGATAGACTTGAACTCAAAAGAGACCTGGAGGGGAGATGCAGAGCCTCACAATGGGGCTGGCTTAGGGCTCAGGGTTGCCCCAGTCTCAAGATGTGACAGGCTTTGGCCACCCTTGTCTCTCTCCAGAGGAGATGCCAGCAGGCTATAGGGTCCCCTCATCATAACCATTTGGGGGTGGAGGTTGAAAGCCCAGTGTGCTTCCTGGACTGCATGAAGCAACCCGTGGCAAGAAGCCAGAGGCAGAGACCAGCCAGCACCCTCCCACACCACCCAGCATCACCAAAGGGCCAGCTCAGCAGGGACACTTACCGAGAAGTCTAATGTGCAGGTATCTGGCTGCCCTGGCCGCCCTGGCCCAAACCGCCACAGCGTCTCCAGGTGGTTGAACATCCGGCCATCGTTGCACACAGCCTGTGGAAGAGGGAGCCACCTGCCTCAGTTTCAGCTGGCTTGGGCCTGGCTGCAGCTGCCAGAAGTCACCTTAGAAGGGCTGCTGCTGCTTCATCACAGCCAACACTGAGGAGCACCTGGCACCAGTGGCACAGAGATTGCACTGATGCTGGCAACCAGTGCCCGCTGTCTCCCTGCTCATGATTAAGTCTTAGCAACTGTAAATGCTCACAGGAAGCTCTGAAAGTGGGAGCAAGTGAAGAGGGCACTGCCCAACTAGACACCTGGAGCATCCATGTGCAGGCCAGGTGGCCCATGATGGATAGCAGCTGCATCAGCCTGCTTTGGGGGAATACCCATGCATCAGCTCCCAAGGAGGTGGGAGCTCTTTTATTATTAGCCCAGAGCTTCCCCAAACTGGATCAGATACCAGAGCAATCTTTTGAGCTGATGCTGGCATTCTGGAATCCCATGATGGGAAATGGAGGCATCTACACAAATGCTATCTGGAAGCTGTGTGGAAACCATCCCAACAGCTGCCCAAAGGTTTAACAACCATGCATCCTCAGTGCCTGGGAAACCATGGCCAGTGTCCTGCTGCACCTAGGTGCCCCCCACTTGATATGCCTCAGAGTGATCTGCCAAGGTGCTGAACAGCTGATCCTCCCACAGACATGAGATAGGGGCCATGGAAGCTCAGTGCCTCCAAGCCAGGCACCAGGTCTCAAGCTGACCACCCAGCAGTCTCTGCACCACCCCTTCCCACCCTCCCCTTGGGAAAATCTCAGCTGCAGCCCCCTGCCAGCCCCTTACCCGGATCTGATGGGGGCTCAGGGAGATTTCAGAGATGTAGCGCTCCACCAAGGGTGAAAAGCCAACTTCCAGCTCTGCCCTCATGAGCCCTTTGCGGTGGGACAGGACCCTGGAGCTGTTGCACCATGGCACGAATAGCCGGTAGCTCTCAACGTTGGCCACCACATTGTACATCTGCTTCATTGAGTACCTGCCACAGGGAGAGGAAGGGGGCATCAGCAGAGACAGCGAGGGGATCGCTGCAGCTCGTAGACCTTATCGGGGGGGGCGCAGTGCACAGCTGCCTGCTTGCTCCAGCCCTTCTTTGCAACAGGTCATCCAGCTGCTCTCCACCAACAAGATGGGGTTACCAGGAAACAGCCTGTTCCTTGGGGAGGGAAAGGCTTGAAGGGTCCCACAGGGGGCTGGTGACCCTAAGCTGCCCCCTGCCCACTCCAGAGCTCCCAGGGGGCTAGTGCTCCCACCCTGAGCTCCCTCCAGGACATCAGAGTTCCCGGCCTCCCCCTGCACTCACCCCATGACGCGCGCCTCCGAGTACTCCATCCGCTTGTTGCCCATCAGAGGGGCTGCCAGGTGCAGAAAGGGCCTCGCCTGCTGGCTCAGGATTGGAGCCGGAGCTGGAGGGCGCTGCTTGGGGGTGCATACTGCTAGCACACCGCAGGAGCTCAGGCACCTGAGAGAGAGAAGACAGAAGCCTGTGAGAGAGGGAGCCCCTGCCAGCCTTGCCACCCCATTGCTCTGCAGGTCCCCCGGGATGGGAAGGGGGAGCCCCAACCCCATGGGAATGTGGAGCCCCAGCCCCAGGGCTCGGTGCTGCTTCGATCTCGGCTCCCTCTGACTCCCACCCACCACCCACACCGGGGACCGAGACCTACGCAGGCACCCCCGAGCTTTGCTGGGCCCCTGCTCCCACCATCGCGGCCCCGCTCACCTGCCCCTGTCCCCCAGCAGCGCCCGGCCCAGCGCAGCGCCCCGAGTGCTCCCAGCCATGGTTTGGCTCTGCCCGCCCCGAGCCCCGGCATCCTCCTAACTCTGCCCATGACGTCAGTGGAGGGGATGTCCCCGCCCAGGTGACACTCCCAGTGATGTCACGGAGGAGTGTCCCGCCAGGCCAGCGGGACAAAGGGTGCTGCATCCGGCCAGGCTTGCCCCCTGGCAGGTACAGCAGCCCCACAGGGACAGGAGCAGGGGGTGGTGGGGAGCTGGGGCTGGAAGCCACCCTGTCCTGGCACTGGGGGAGATGTCCCTCTGAAGCCCAGCCCCTGCCACAGCCCCCTGGGCCTCACCAGGTCACGAGCCTCAAACTCAAGAGTCCCAAGCCAGGCTCTGCTGGATTTGGGCACCTGCAGGGACCTCACCTGGGCCTTCCCCAGCTTCCCCCCAGATCTGACCCAATTAGGCAGGCAGGCTTCTTTGAATAGATGTGGTATCTTTTATTAGACCAACTGAGTAGTCGGAAAAAAGTTCTTAGCAAGCTTTTGGGCGCAGTCACCCTTCTTCAGACATAGGGAGTCACTGCTGTTCTGAGGCTCCAAGAAATGAGAGAAGCTAAAAGTGTGGCAGGATGTCAGTGAGAATGTAAATAGACAGAAATTAGAAAGACAAAAGGTAAAGCACGGAAGGGGGGGAGGGAGTAAAAAAGCAGGAGTGGGGGTGGGAAAGAAAGCCAAAGGTGAGTAAGGGAGACACTACAGTGGTAGTAATTGAAGGTAGAGAAGAGGCTGTCTATGAAAAAGGAAATAGCTAGAAATTAGGAAGACAACCGGCAAAAAAGCGGTGGGGGAGGGTTGTGAAAAGGAAAATGTAAAAGATCAGGTCAGGCAGGTACCTGGTGAATCAGATGTCTGGCAGATTGTAATGCATCATAAAACTATATTAGTTCATAAACTATATGTAAACTATATATTGAGTTCATGATTCTTTGTATCCAGTAGATTTATAAAGTGAAGTTTGTAGGCTTGTCTATGAAAGGGGTTTTGTAAGTTCCCTTTGAGGATTAGAACTGAGAGATGGGAGAGGGAGTGATTGTCCTGCAAGGAGTGTGCCCCCAAAGGTAGCTAGGCATTCCGGCCATTGATAGATTTTCGGTGTGCATCCATTCTGGTGCACAGCTGTTGTTTGGTTTCTCCAAAATATTTTCCATCAGGGCATTTGGTGCACTAGATGAGATCTATAACATTTCTGGAGGAGCTGTAAGATCCAGGAATGGTGGTGGTTCTGTTGTGTGGGGCATAGTTATAGTGGGGGTGGTGGAGATGTGTTGGCAGGTTTTGGATTTTTTGTCCTGGCAGGGGCTAGATCCAGTTGGTGTGGTTTGGGTTATAGGGAGATTGCTTCTGGTGATGAGGTTAGTGAGGTTCAGTGCTTATTTAAAAGCTAGAATTGGTGGTTCTGGAAAGAAGTCTTTAAGAATTGGGTCTTCTTCTAGTATGGGTTGCAATTGCTTGAGTATTTTCTGTGTAGGTTCCAGGGAAGGGTGATATGTCATAACTAATGGCGTGCAATATGTGGGGATTTTCTTTTTGTACTGCAGCAAATCTTCAAGTGGTATCCAGGTGGCTCTTTCAAAAGTGCAATCTGTCTCTCACATTGGCTTCTGGAGGAGGGAGGGAGACAGCTGGCTCCTGCGCTTCTTGGAAGAGCAGCCACCCAGATTACCCTGTTGGCAGAGCAAGGCACCAACATGCAGGTGCCACCAGCTGGGAGCTGAAAGGCCCCTCTGCCCAACAGCCCAGGGGAGGACTGCAGCCAGCTAGAGAATGCCAGGCCCAATACATCTAGTGAGGGCAACAGAGCAGCTGTCACAGAGAGATGGAAAGGAAGGAAGAGGGCAAGTAAATCCAAGAAAGCTGGAGCACAAGTCTCCCGTCTTGCAGAAGGAAGGGAGGGATGGAGAGAAGAGGTGCCCTGGCCAATAGGGCACACTGGGACATAAAGCAATAAAGCTCTTTGATTACTCCTGCTTAATCAAAGCAGCTTCTGCTGAGCTCAGCTTTGGGGGCTTTGGGCTCCAGCCCACAGCAGCAAGCAGTGTGGGACACACAGCTGTCTAATCTTTTTGGGTCTATGCGTGTCCGGTTGCTGTTATGCAAGTGACCCAGAGTTAATTCAGACAGCCAGGAAAAGAGTACAATGACTTGTTTTCTTCCTGGAGGGCTCCAGCCAGACTGGATCTACGCATTCAATTGTACAACTGTTTCCTGCTATTACTGTAGCCCCAGGAGTAAAGTCCTCACTCACCCCCACATTCCATGAGAGTGGGCATAGGTGACAGCACCAACACACCTGCCTGGCTTACCCTGGCATTCAGGAAGTCAGACCAGCAGGCCCAGCAGAATTTTTTTGCAGGCTTTACAGGTGGAGCATGGTCATGGTAGCACCAGGTCAGGGCTTGGTTATACAAGTCATTCTGCAAACTCTGGCTGCTCCTGATCTGGGAGGTGACTCACACTGGGAATATGCAGAACAGAGGACAAACATCCCATCCCAGCACAGCCACTGCGCCAGACCAGCTGGTCTGAATCAGTCAGTTTGGGATGTAATTTCTCTTCCTCCATGAGCTAAGGAATGTTCCAGTTCTTACCACTTATCCTCCAGCCTTTTGCCTGTCTGTCCAATAGCACTTTGCCCTCAGAGACCGCTGGCTTGGGAAGACTCCATTTCTGGCACAAGAGAACGCAAAGCCCAAGATCCTCAGATTCCATCTGAGGTCTCCAGGGTATCCACCCTGTGGGGCTGGGTTCACTCAATCAAATAGCTCCCAGCAGCTGAGGGGGATCAGAATTTTCTCCTTGGAGGTGTGAAAGGGTCTCAAGGGTAAAATGAAGCAGTGTCACTCAGATCAGTGTTTTCTCCTGGGTACATCAAATGAATCCTCACAGGACCAAAGACAAGCAGGTCCACACTTGCTTGCATGAGCCCAGTCCCTCTTGGGGATGGCAGAGATGGAAACCACATCCTCTAATTAGGGGCTGCTGTGACAAGAACATCATGGGACTGAGGAACAGCAGGGATAGGGGGCTCGCTGGAGCAGACTCAGCCAGGGAGATTTCTAGGCTGAGAAGGAGAGAACTCTGTCAAGAGCAGCCCACATGCCCATTCAGCAAGGGGTGATGCAGAGACATTTTACCTTTATCACTGGATCAGCTAAATAAGGATTAACAACATTTTGCAGCTGTGGGGCAGAGCTCCTGACCCAGCCTCCTGCCACAGGCTGCATATCCCCGCCAGCCCTAGAGCAGCCCAAGCTGCCTGTGCTTACCCTCACTGCAACTCCTCTGGCAGGGAGAGCAGCAGGAAGGGCTGCAGAGCAGTACCATGGCTATGCTCCACCTGTAAGGACTGCTCCGGGCACCTGGGTGCCTCTCATTCCCTCATGCTAAGTCAGACCTTCATGGGCCTGAATCCAAACTCTTCATAGGCCAGATCCAGCCTGGAGGCTATTTGGCACTGGCCCTTGAGCTAAACCAAGCATCCATGACAGTAAAAGCCTGCAGGGATGAAGCAAGCAGCTGTTTCTGTTTAGCCTATGGCACTGTAGAAGAGGTAAAAAGAAAAAAGCCACTCAATTCCAGAAAAGCCCTGCAGGGAATCCTGCCACCAGTCTAACTACACCAGTGTGACTCCAAATGGTTGCCCAACTGGTGGCCCATGGGTTACATGTGACCTGCGACAGATTTAATTCTGGTCTACAGGGCTTCTTGGCACAGCTGCAAAAGCTGCTGCATTAGCATGGCTCCAGAACCCGGAGGGCAAATGCCCCTGCTGCTCACCCCTGTACCCCAATCCCTGCTGCCAGTGACTCAAATCAGTGGCAGAGGAAAGGGAGATGAACAGCAGTGTTTATCCCCTGGTTCCAGCAGCCACACTACTGAGCTGCCACCAGAGATGTGTCATCTGGCCCATGAGAAGCCATGAAGTCTGGATCCCACAGGGCCAAATAAGCTGGACAGCTCTTAGCTCATCCCAGTATAAGCCTCCCACCCTTAGAAGACTTACAGTGCCTCAGATTCCCCGACAGAAGTTTAATTGAGTAAGCATTTCCTCTGGGCCATCTGGAACCAGCAACACTTGTTCCCATCAAAGGACATGGCAAAGAATACAAAGGAAAGGGGAGGAATCAGAGGTGCTAGGAGTGGTTCACACAATTTTAAATCAAAGTATTAGCTTCCCAGGGAGAGGACCTATGTGACTTGAGGCCCTTAGACCTCTTGGCCAGAGCTGCTCCCCCTGCTGGCTGCCTGGCACCATGGCAAGCTTCATTGTACAGTCATTTCAATACAACAGTTATTATTTCTAGCTGGGCACACAGCAGTCATATCTGGATCCTGCACCAGTGATTTGGGGCTGTCTGCTGATATATGAACAAAAGCACTGGGCGCTTCTCAAATGCACTCAGGTGCTTAAGGCAGGCTCTGGGCACAGAAGGTCTGGCACAGGTATGGAAAGCTCAGAGCAAACTGCCATACAAGCTCCACACCTCACAGCCCAAACCAAGCACCCACACCCTATCTAAGGCTTGGGCAGAGCTGCTAGAATACAGCAGAGGCTGGATCCCTCCAGCAAATCAAATCCTAGTCCTTCATCAAAGCTCTTGCTACACTGATCCATGGGGAGGGTACACAGTAGGGCATTCAATCTCATCTCACTGCACCCATGGACACAGGGAGGAGAGAACAGTCCAGACAAGGAGTCTCAGGATACCTCCAAGATAACACAATCTGGACCCACAACCCTGCTATGTAGCAAGAGCTCTGCACAGGGTGTTTGTGCAATCCCTCTCAGAAGCCTTGGGCTGGCATCACCCAGGCTTGACACGTGCCAGCCAGACAATGGCACCAGTCAACAAAAGGGCAAGCTCTCTAAGGTCCCAGTAGTTCCCAGGCCCTGTCCTGGGCCAGATCTGGACCCTGCAGTTAGTGCAGGGAACCTGGGCTGCACTATGAGTGGCAGAGGAGGGGATACCAGAGCCCTCTCTAACAGCACCCATCACAAGCCCCTGGGCTCCTCTCTGTGACAGAACTGCTTGACCTTAGATGCATGCTGCCACAGGGCAGAGCTTCAGACTTAGGGTGCAACACGGAGGAAGCCAGCATGGCAGAGGAAAACAATCACCACACGGAGACAGATGCTACAAGAAATTGACCTTTAACCATCACACACATACAGGTAACAAGACATCCAGCACCATGCAGCCTGCAAGGCAGGACAGCATAGCCCACTCTTGATGGTAGTGAGAAGGTGAGCATACTCATTGACCACAGCAGCTCCAAATCAGGTAGGGGGGAGCAGAGCTGGGCTTGCTACTGGGGTTCACTGTGGGGCACAGCCTAGGATGGTGACAGGAACACCAGCTTGGCACAAACCTGTTCTGTGTACTCAGCAGGTGCAGAGGTCACTTGCCTCATCAGAGAAGAGCTGCTCCTGCCTCACTGGCTGATGACCATATTACCAACTCAGTGACCACAGGTAGCTACCCCTCCCATGCCCTGCTGCCCCT